TAATATTCTTAAATGTCTACATGGAGTGTTGAATTAGTTCGGTTCTCTAAGAAGTTATGTGTACGAGGGAGTAAATTTACTCGACAATTCGTTTTAGTTTTAATGCGTTAAAATTTTTGTTCAGTAGTAAACACATAGTTATCTGGCTGAATAACTTTTTTGATGAAAGCGAGGATTTTCAGTAAAAAAAAAGTGACTAGTATTTAAAAAGGTGTGGATAAAATCTATTGGAAAACAGTTTTTGTTGACTACTGTGTAATTTGAGAAGTAAATTGGTGCTCCTTCGGCCTATTTATTTGATTGATTTGATACAAAGACAAAGTTGATTATTCATGGGAAGGAAGTAGTTGTATAATCTGATAATATTTTAGTTCTAGATTCTTATCCTATACCTATCACGCTTGTTATCAACTGATTGTGTGATTGCTGTACAGATTCAATTTGTAATCGTTATTTTCTCCCAACAAGTCACTGATTTCACTTTGCTATTTAATAAATCATTGTCTACCTTTAATTTAGGTGAACTAACTAAACAATTTCCTGTTATATCACAACTCGATCCTTTCTTACTTGACTTGTTGACTTTCACCTGCTTGACTGATCTCTTATTAGCTTAAAACGGAGAAAATAATTAAAATTTATTTAATATCTGTTAATTTCAAAGTAAATTTCTCTGAACTGTGATGTAAATGTGAATCAGCTGAACATTAGTAGTCATGTTGACTAAACTAATCGGGATCTCACGTGAAAATGTGCACATAATTTAATTCATAAGTTTCTTTCAGTAAGTGTATGTGCGTATCTAGGCTTTATCTTCTGTTAATATCCTCAATCCTCATTTACCACCATACAATATTTGCGGAACTCCAAGCATTTTTGTGTGCACGAAATACCGTCCTTGAATCACAGAAGAATTTTTGTAAAACAGCTTAAATAAACTAGTCGATTACTCAGATTGCAGTTGGTGATACACTTGATGAACTGATAATTTCAGGATGAGGGGTTATATCTTAAGATTTTAAGATCAAATTTTGGTAATGCCGTCAGCTGTCAACTTGAGATTAAAACACATGTGATCCAAATGCCACTCTATTTTAGCGACTTCATTATTAATGACAGCGTCATATCTAAAAAACTATTGTGTCGATGTTAGGGAAAAAACTCACAAGAGAGTAAACTATAGACAACTATTTTCGATTACTGTCCTAAAAAAAATCTTCAGTACCCTGAAACCCTCTTAAATAGTTTCTTTCTTTGAATTTAAACTTCTTGAGATTTTAAACGATTTCTGACTAATTTAGACTTTGATAGACCTGTTAGCATTAGGACTCACTAGCCGTGAGCGGTCTCTGAAAAAGGGTAGTGATTTACTTATCACCAAGATCTTGACTCAATCAAAAAGTGAATTATTTTTTAAATCTTTGGTCAGGAAACTAACAGAGATGGAAAAATTTATCAACTAGGCAGCTGGATACGTAAATCACTTGAGAATCTGAGAATCAGGTTACAAGTCAAATCTTACTGGACTAATTTATTCACCATTTGTAGAGAAAAATACTAACTCAATTAAAGGGAATAAACTAGATGTCTTTTGGATAGTTTTCAACAGATCCTTCATTTATAAGATGCTTTGAGATAGACGGAATCTGTGATAAATATCCAGTCACAGTTTTCATTCACTTTGAAATCTGTTGTTAGCTATTTAAGAAATCCCCAGTATCAACCAAAATGCATAAATGTGTTACATCAGCCGAATCGGTGGGGCTAATTCACGAGCTGTCATTACCAAGATATTAAATGTGAACCAGCCACAACTCTTTACTCAGTTCAAATTTCTTATTCCCCAGCTCCAATATAATGGTGGAATTTCCTAGGATTGATTCAGATTTTCTGAAGTCCGAATACAAGAAAAATCATGAAATTTAGAAGCTTTGTGATGTGTCCTGTTGTATATTGTTAGAAACCATGAATCCTTGGTTCAGGGCATCCTATTAGATCTCCTAAATTTCAATATCAAATCTTAGTATTTTTCAGGTTATTTTCAGCTTAGACTTAAAGGCTTTTAACAGGAATCAGACAAATTTCATCAAAGCATTTAGACTCTAACATTATCCCATCATGATCAGTCTGCAAGTGTATAAAATTAAAGGTTATGGAAAGCTAAGTATATTGCTGGCGCTTGTAATTCGCTCCTAATCTCAGTAACCCTAGATTGAGTGAACTGTTGGAAAAAAATGAATAAGATCATGCCTATTTGACAAACGAACAAGAAGTTCTGTCTGTTTAATGTTATCACTTTGTATCCGTTTAATGGTTGGTGGGAAAATGACTCTGAACCAAGAATGAAAGTGCTAGTACATATTTCATACTCCGAGGATCCGGGTAGCGATAACTAAATTCTACTTTTTTCATTACTGAAGCTTCTAAAATTTATTCCTGTACAATGGGTATTTTGAAAATGGATACCTACCGGAATTTATATACAAGAATCTAAAGCCAAAAACTCCACAGTACGCATTCAAACCGCTCCGAAAAGGATTTTACTACTGAACCTCTAACGCAAGGGAGATAATGCAGCAGATATAGAGACTATCAAGGTCCATAAACAGAGCATTTTATGCCACTAATCTTAGAATCAGATCCTGCTGTCAGAAACCCAATCATCAGCACCAAAAGGATAAGCTGAAGCATTAGGTCAAATCGATATGTGTGTATTAGTTTACTTGCTCCAGTGGAGCTGAGTACATCGGCATTACCATATGCCAGCCTATGCAACGATCTCATAAACACTATCAAACTTGGACAACAAGGGGAGAATGGAAATGGATCCTCAGCTCTGTAACAGAACACTTAGTAAGTTAATGACATTTGACTACTTTTGATAAGTCTATCAAAATTCTGTACCAAAAGCTGCAAAGTCATTCGAAATGAGTGTGGCTAAGACATTTAGGAATGACTGAAACACTAGCAATTCAAAAGTTCAAACCGTCATTGTGTGTTCAAGAGAAGTATGTACAACCTCTTCCTCTCTCATGGTCATAGTAACTTATTGATCACTCAAATAACCCACAAATGGAGTAACTATTTTTATTTTGTAACTAATTTATTTTCCCATTACGTGACTTATTCTTGTGATGCAATTTCTATTGACTTTTGATCAGTAATTGCGCTGGAATGTTCTATCCTTTTACCACTTATTCAAGAATGCATAGCTAAGAGAATGATGTCGTCGAAAAGAAAAACA